TTAACAAAGATTATATACATTGTTTTTCACACAAGTGGATAATACTCTTGATACCATCTCATAACTCTTCATGTCTTTGATCTTTACTATTCAGTGCATCAAATATATTCTTGAGATGATTTTTAAACCCAGTTGGAATAGACTGAAAATAATATTTTGGTTCTCATGAACTTGTTTTAATTTTCATCAGCCTCAGCTTGAACTTGGGCTAAAGTAATTAAGAAAAGGATTTGTGATTAATAAATCTTTGCACATAACAGAGTTCCATCATTCATTCTCCAGTTTCATTTCTGTCACCTAATCCTATTCTTTACAACTGCCCTTTCTTCTTTGTTGACTGGAATGCAAAAGTCGGGCACAGTTATTTTTAATGCATCTTGATTGCATTAATCAGTTTTAGGCTACCAAAATTGATAGAAAAAAAGAAGAAAAAATTGGTAGAAGTCTTCAGTTCTCATTGTATTAAGTGAGGCAGTAATAGCAGCAGACAAAACAATATCTGTCCTTTGTTGATGGACAAGTGGTACCATTCTGCAAGTTTGCAAATGAGAGAATTATACCATCGATTGGGAGACTTAATATATTAAAGATGGTAATTCTCATATGGTCTACAGAGCTGATATAGCATCAAAATCCAAGCTGAGTTGAGGATTTTGGGGGGGACATTCTTGTGAGACATGATGTGAAATCACATATTTGAAATACCACTGCATATCACTTGATATCTTTCAGATATCAAGAAGACTCATGCTTATGTAAAAGTAGCTGTCTTCCTGAGTCGTAGGTAAAGCCTTTGGAAATGACACTAAGTCGTTTGGTTATCCTTATGATGTGTGTGTTTATATACTGCAGCTCAGTAAGAAAGATAATCTGAAAATTTGTAGAAATACTTAAACTGTATAGTTAATAAACATATTTTTAGAAGTTGAATTCATTCCTAATCAAGGAGATAGAAATTCATCTCATATAAGCAAACATTTTAAAATAAGAAAAGGTGAAAATGGAGAAGAGTGGTAATTTATGCAGTTGGTAGTTATTGTCCACTCAATTCCAGCTAGCAGCATCACCGTATCCAGCAGAATGAAACACCACCTGGTCTTACACGATCCTCACAGTCATTGTTACAGCAGCCACCACGGTAATCCACATCATGGCAAGTCTGTCTCTCTTTGAGTAACCATGTACTTTACCAAGCGTGATGTTCTGCTCCAGGTGCTGATCCTTCCTAGCAACATGTCCAAAGGATGTGAGGTGAAGACTCCATCCTTGCTTCTATGGTGCTTTCTGGCTGTACTTCTCAGGCAGATTTGTTTGTTCTTGGCAGTCGTGGAACATTGTATTTATTCATCATAGCATCATAAGTCAAAAGGCATAAGTTGTTTTTAGTCGTCATTATTCTTTATCCAGCTTTCTCATGCATATGAGGTATTTGAAAATAACATGACTTTAGTCAGGCACACCTTAGTCCTCAAGACATCTTTGCTTTTAATACTTTTATGAGTATTAATAAATACTTTTTTACCCCTTTAGGTTGCAGTTTTATTAATGGTAATGTTACATTGATAATTATGTTAAAATTAATAGATTTCATATTTTAAAAAACTAATGCGTTAATGGTTGGCTACCCAGTGCGGACAGAGAGTGGGGTGGAGCTCCCCGATTAAAACAAGCTTGGAAGGAGGAATGGCACCCACTTCCATAACAGCTTGCCTCCAGAAACCCTATGAAGGTGGAGAGAGGATGAGAGACACCCAAGCATTGAGGACTCCTTCGTAGGGTCGCTATGAGTCGCTTGCGACTCGGCACTTAAAAACAACAATAGGATGTGATGGCTACTTATATATTATACATAATGGCCAGCGTTTAGAATCCTGAGGGCCATTTTAAACTTGCTCCTTCTTTTTTTTTTAAACATTTTTTTAAATGAATTTTTTTTTTTTTTTTGGATTTAAATGAATTTTAATGACAGTTTACAGACTTAGGGTTTTCAGTCATTCATTGTTGCACGTTTCTCCCCACCTACCCACCCCCAATTCACTCTTCTTCTTGTAAAGAAAATTCAAAACTCTTTCATTGTTATGCAATCCTTCCCCTCCAAGGCCACTCCATTATATAGCCTTCACGAAAGAGTCTTTTTTAGTAGATTTGCCTAATTAATATGTTCTTTGATTTTTTAAAAAATTTTCTTTTATACTGGTTTACATACAAAGTTTGTAAAGTTCATATACATTGTTTTCATACTGTACCTCTCCCCTTTCTCTTACCAGTCTCTCCCTTCACCCATCAAATTGTGTGACCCTGTGTTTAGCAGTCCCTCCTTGGATCCTCGTACATGCTCTACAATAATGATCTTATACAGTATTTGTTGTTATGAGACTAAGTTCACTTAGCTTACTGCTCTCCAGTCTCTCCCATGATAGGTCATAATTTACGAAGTCATTGCTCCTGAGTGCTACACATTGTATTGTATGAATGTACCATCATTTCTCAATCCAGTCCATTGTGGTTGGATATTTGGGCTGTTTCCACGTTCTTCTGTTAGCAGTGGTAAAGTTTAACAGGGCATCAAGTAATAAATGTTGGAGAAGATGTGGCAAGATAGGAACTCTTACACATTGTTAGTGGGATTGTAAAATGGTACAACCGCTGTGGACGGCAGTTTGGCGTTTCCTCAAAAAGCTAGACAGAGAAATTCCATATGGCCCGGCTATTCCACTGCTTGGAATATACCCTGAGAAAATGAAAACTGAGGCACAGAGACTTGTACACCAGTGTTCATAGCAGCATCAGTCACCATATCAAGAACATGTTCTTTGATTTCTTGACTAATGCTTCCATGTAAGTTGCGATTGTGGATCCAAATAAAGTGAAATTCTTGACAGCTTCAGTCATTCCTCCTCTTATGATACTGCTCTCATGCAGTGCTGTAAACATTTCAGCAGTCAGTTACCTTCATCCTGCAAAGTTGAACATTATACATGATCCCCTATGATTCCACTTCCTGTAGTACATTTTAGAGAAATTAATATGGCATATCAGGAGACCAGGATGCTTGTGGTAATAATGCTTGTAATAAAACTAGAAGTAACCCAAAAATCCAGTTGTAGTATAATGGACAAGTCAGTCATGTGTTAGACATCAAGGATGATTTAAAGTAAAAGATGGTTTCAAGTGTGTGCATATGTAAGGCTGGATTCCAAATTTTATTTTACTCTAAGAAAGAAGTTATAGTTCAGAAACATTAAACAAATTTGTTGTTTCAAAATACGTACACATCTGGGCAAAATTTCCTTTATTTTACTCTAAGAAAGACGTTATAGTTCAGAAACATTAAAACAAATTTGTTGTTTCAAAATACATACAATACTGGGCAAAATTTCCTTAACATCTGAGTGGTAGAGGGAAGGTACAAAATGACTGCAATCAGTAGTGTGTACAGAGGAATAGGAAATCAGTTTGTTTCTTAAACCTGAACAATTTATTCACAGATGCTTATTTTATTAGGCTTTAAGCTGTATATAGGTACTCACTCTTTGTAGGATATACTTAAAATGAGAGTATTTGACAAAGAGACAAGGTAAGAGTCTAAAGGCAAACACAGGCCTTGAGATTGTCCCTGTGTTAACAAATAGTAATTTGATTATAACAAGCAATAATCAAGTCTTCTTTTTAAAGTTAATATTAAAGGTTCAAAGTGAATAGATTTCATTTTCTCTTTTAGAAAATCTTTTCTGTAAGGGTATAGAAATGATTGTTATTAAGTGCCATCAAAGTGAGTATTTCTCCTAGCCTGTGAACAACATATCTGAACCTTGCTCTATGCTGTGCCAACCTCACCATGTCTGATGTTTGAGCCCATTGTTAAAAGTGTTGTCAGTCCACCTCCCTGAGGGTCTTCCTCTTTCAGTGACCATCCACCTTTCCAAACATGATGTCTTTTTCCAAGGACTGGCCCCTCCTAGCACCATGCCCAAAATGAGACAAAGCTTTGCCATTCTCCCCTCTAAGGAGCACTTTGGTTACACTTTCTCCTAGACATACTTGTTTATTCTCTTGTCAATCCATGGGATAGTCAGAGCGCTTCTCCAGCACTTAAGTGTTTAACATAATTGTGTCTTATTATAGAGGCCCTTGAAAGCAGATTTTTCCCAGTGCAACAAACACTTGCTTGCCTCTTCATCTAGGTATAAGTTTCACTTGAGCACAATTAAGTGCTCTGAGATTCTCATTCTTCCCAGTGTTAGCCACCATTTGTTAGATGCCTTTGCATTGTCAATAAAATTCAGACACACACTGTTCTGGTGTTCTCTGCTTTCAGCCAACAACCATCTGACTACAAAAGTTATATCCCTGGTGCCACACCCATTCTAAACCCAGATTGAACTTCAGAAGTTCTCTATCATTGTACAGTCCTAGCATTTATGGATAATCTTCAAGATTTTACTTGCATGTGATGTTAATGATATTGTTCAATAATTTTCACATTCTCTTGGATCTCTCTTCTTGAGAATGGGAACAGATAAGGATCTCCTGCAGCCAGTTGGCCAGGTAGATGTCTTCCAAATTTCCTAGCATAGACTGCTAAGCACGTCCAGGGCTGCATCTGTCTGCTCAGACATGTTGTGTCCCATCAGTTCCAGGGGACTTATTTTTTTGCTGATGGCTTCAGTGAAGCAGGCGTTAGGTTGTTGTGGTTTCTTTCCATTTAGCCTGGTTTTCCTTCTAGTTGAGCATGTGTCCTAATGGCACCATGTATTAGTCCCGGCATTCTTGATGGTTCTACCAGATCTAGTTTCTGAGCTGGTTCCTGCATGAGCTTTTAAATTAACCATTATGTTAACTGGATTTTGATAGTTTTGTACCTGTTGGCATGCTTTTCCTTGACTTGGACTGATTGAAAGAAGTAAGTTAAGACACAGAATGGTAACTTTCCAGAACCAGGCTGGGTGAGATTCTTGTAACAGAGATCAGTAACCTCTTTTTTTCTTTATGTGCTTTAGCTCAGGTTCAGATCGAAGGGGACTTCCTGGCATGTTCATTCTCTATACTAGAGGAGCAGCCCATGGACATGCTTCTGGGATTGGATATGCTTAAGCGACATCAGGTAATTGAAGGCCTTCAATTTCTTTTTGCATCTGTTTTCTATGTGTTTGGTTATTTTGCATCTTTTCTGTTGGGTATATATGTTGCCTGGAAGCAGGAGCAGCATCCACTTCCGAAATGGCTTGTCTCCGGAAACTCTATGTACGAACAGTGCTCAGGCTGTTCATAGGATCGCTATGAGTCGTCTACGACTTGACGGCATCAAACAACAACAACATATGTGTTGCAGAACTAGAACCATGACTTGACACCTGGAAAAAGACTTAGTTGATGATGATGTTATTCAAGTATTATAATTATGCATTAGTAGAAACAGAATCTGGATTTGTGCATTCGGTGAATTTATTATATCTTATCTATTCTGAGATTGGTATGGGCATTTTGGTTCCTTTATGTGATTTTAAAAGCCTCACTAGGTGTTGAGTAGAATTTGTATGGATTTGCAGGCAGAATGATGATTTTACAGCATGTGTAAATTTAGTAAATCCTCTGTAATCCTTATATGCTAGGCAGAGTATTGGGGAAAGAGACCTTCCAGATTAAGGGAGATGGTCTTCTGATGTAGGAGTGAAAAGGTCAGTTATTTTAGAGTGTATCCATTCTCAGCCTTCTCTTCTGAATTGTTCTGTGAGCATCAACTCATTGGCCCCTAAATTCCTATTTAATCTTTGGAGTTGCTATTTCCGTTTGATCCCTAAAAGATAGATCTAAAAAGAGCCTGTTGTTGTTGTTGAGGACCATACAGTCAGAACCAACCCACAGCTGACCCTCTGGCGGGTTTTTCGAGGCAGTTAATCACACAGGAGGAGACTGCCCATCCTTCTCCTGTGGAGCAGCTGGCGGCCTCAAACTGTGCCTTTGAGATTGCAGTGCAGTACCGGAGCTCCCTAATAAAAGATGCAGAGTTTTAATATATAAGTTGTACTTTGGCATAGTGGCAAAAAAGCTGTGCTGCAATCCTGAAGGCATGCGGTTCGATTCCACCAGCTGCTCCGCAGGAGGATGGGCAACCTCCTCCCGTGCTATTAATCTGCTTCTGAAAACCTGCTTGTTCAGAGAGTCATCAGTGGATAGGTGGGTTCTGACTCAACTGAACGTAGCAACTTTGTAGAAGTAAAATGCTAAACTGTATAAATAGTACTGTTTCAATTTTACAATATAAGTAATTTGTATGTTTCTTAAAGATGGAGCCTAGTAGTGAAAAGCTACACTGGCTTCCCAAAAGGATAGTGTTAGAATCCACCAGCAGCTCAACAGGAGAAAGATGGGCAGTCTCCTCGCATGCGATTTACTGTCTGAAAACCCTCTGGTAGATCAGCTATGAGTCAGTCCCACCCAGCAGTACATAAAAACAAAAGATATACTTGTTATTTTTCCAGATTTTATATAGTTCACGTGCATTACTATTTGTAATTTAAAAAAATAGAAATTATATAAAAACAAGTAAAATGGTTGGATCAAGATATAACAGGGTTCAGAGCTGTTTTACATAGGGTCGCTATGAGCCACTATTGACCCAATGGCACATGACTACAGCAACATTCCTATAAAGGTTATTCTGCTGTAAACTTGGATATTTAAAAATCTTCTAAATGAAGTGAAGTTTCTGAACCATGTCTGTTCCTGCCAGTTTGCTCTTTGTGAATGGAGTTTTATATTAATAATTACTCATATACCTTTTAATTATAGTTAATTCCAACTAATACATGCTGTTCATTACATCTCATCAGGTCCTCACTGTACATTCCTTTTCCTTCACCTCCTATCCCATCAGCCTTTCAGGATTGTTTTCAGTGTGTAAAACTTAACATTTGTCAGACAGTTACATGTATCCTGTTCTACATTGTTAATTACAATACACACAATGTCTGATGGTTCATTCATTTCACATTGGCCTTTTCTTCACCTGTTCCAAGAATGTGGTCATTATTCATTCGTTTCCTACTTTCCTTCTACTCCTTTATCTCCCTGTTTTATAACAGTGATCTTATACAATATTTGTCCTTCCCTGCTTTTCTTTCATTCAGCATCATATCCTGTAGCTGCATCCATGATACACCTAGTGTCATAAATTCTTCACCTGCTTTTCAGTGCTGTGTAATACTCCATTTGTGAATGTACCACAGTTTCTTTATCTGTCTGTTAGTTGTTGGGCACAAGAACTATTTTCATCTTTTCTGTGCGGCATTTTATTCACCATCCTTATCCTTTGATATATTTTTTTTTCTCCCCTTCCTAAGTGTTCCATTGACCTTAAGAAAAATGTCCTAGTGATCGGCACCACAGGCTCCCAAACATCTTTCCTTCCGGAGGGAGAGCTGCCAGAGTGTGCCAGGTTGGCGTATGGGGCTGGGCGAGAGGACCTGCGGCCAGAGGATATTGCAGACCAAGAATTAGCAGAAGCCCTTCAAAAATCCGTAGAGGATGCAGGTATTTGGAAAAGCTAAGCTTTTGAATAATGTCATTGATGGGTGAGACAGGAAAAGGCGAGTTTCATTAGAGGACAGAAACCTTTCAAATTCTTCATCAGTTTCACTGTCCAGTAGTAGATATATTCATTATTTGTCCTCTTTATCTCTGCCTCCCATCTCTCATCATGAAAAGAAGAAAACCTCCACATTTCAGCAAATTTAGAAACAATCCGTTGCCATGGATGAACTAGATTAAGAATATATTTGCATAGTTATATTTTTCTAGGCTTCCAAAAAATTATACCTTTTTTAAAAAAAAATCATACCAGTAGGCAGGTACCTTCTTTTTGAGCTTAGCAATATTTTCCCTGAAATATTCTTTACTTTTCTTGAGGTTGTTTTTACAGAAGGAAAACATTGTCCTTGTACCTGAAAAGTCCTCCCTTTTTAATATTTACTGAGGGGGCTTCTGCCAAAGACAGAAGAATTACCAGTTGAACACTATTTAGATTGTAATGTTTGTTATTAATGGGTTTACAGTAGTATGTCATTGGACCGTATTAGAAAAATATAAATTAAGGAACTTAATTTCTAAGTCTTGGTTAGGGTAACCTATTTATAGACTGAGTTCCGTTCTGGATGAATAGATGATGCAATTTTTCTGAAATCTAACCTCCATGAATAATGCTCAGCCCCTCGTCTGTGATCAGTGATTCTGAGGCATGTTTTCTAGAACCTGAAAAACATTCACTTATAAGTTTGGGATCCTTTTTTTTTTTTTTTTTTTTTTTTTTTTTTTAGGTTTTGGATCTTTTAAAGCCTGAACTGACTATATTTATTAGCATGACTAATAGCACACATTTCTTTTTCTGACCCAATTGGATGTATTTTGTCTTTCTCCTAAAGACAGACAAGATATAAACTGTCTATAAGCTTAAGACATGGTGGTATATGACTGCCATTACCACTTGGTCTATTTGGAATCACAGTACAAGGCCCTAGACAGAGGAAGAGAAAATGTAGAACAGAATTCAGAGTCAGAGAGACCAGTCTTACTGGTCAGATAGAGAGACTAGTGGACTTGCCAAGACCAAAGACCCTTAGCCACCATTCATTCTTGAAATGGAACCCGCTCTTGGAAGTCACCTTTCAACCAGACAGACCAGTAGAGTGAACAGTAAATGCTCTTCAGAACAGTCAACAATATAAGACCACTAGGGTAGTATTTGCCCAAATAAAAAGTTTAGCTGACAGATGAGGTGGTAAAACGACAGAAATGGGCAACCTGAGAAGAAAAAGGAAAGACAGTGTGCTGTTTACATTGACTGAGGCTATAACCAGTGTCATGAAACAAAATACATACAAATTGTTGAAAAACTAAATTGCTCTGTAAATGTTCATTTAAACCACAATTTTTTTTTAAAAAAGAACATGCACGCTAAGTTTTTAAAATGAGCAACCAGATTTTGTCTGTGTTTGTTGCTGGAGAACTTCTGGAGGCCTATCCTTTAAAGCCTCCATAGAATACATGTGGAGAGAATAAGGAGTTTTTAAAGTTGATCCGATTTAGAATCTATTCCACTACGTTTTAGCTCAGTTTTATGTACAAAGTACAATTTGAGATGTGACTTAAGTGTTTTGTAGGAAGGGGAGAATTCTGAATAAACAGACAGGGAGAGATTAACTTAATAGCTTCCCTGCTGTAAGTAAGCTTGAATGAATTTGACTTACGTGATTTTGCTTTTTTTTGAAAAAAAAAAATCTCATTAATACCACTGTGTGTTAATAAAATGAAGATATGAAAAAAAAATAAAATAAAATGAAGATAATACCATTTTGTGAAACTGTCATTTTCTATAGTCTTATTTTTATTTAAGAAATCCTTGCAAATAGTAATGTTTTTCTAATCTACTAATAGTTACCCATGGACTTTGGATATTTACCTTCTTTGAATAAAAAGGTTTAAGAGATTAAAGGAGTTACTAAGGAGAGAGTTTACCAGTTTTTAAGAGGATTAAAAGGAAGTGGTTTTTTAACCCTTGTGACCTTTTGTATCTGAGAAGCTTGTGCTAATTCTTAAAGTATTTAAATAGTGAAATAATTTACATTATCACATCCTGTTATTTGAAACATTGATTTTCCTCTATCTTAAAAATCAAAACTGAATATTATCAGTAAAAATATTTTGCTAAAAATTGTTTCTCTGGTTGATGCTTTACACTAAAGTATCTTAATATTTTCTTTCAGTTGATAATATTTCCAAAAATGAGCTATATCTCTTTTCTAAAACTAATTAATAGAAAAAGAATATAAGCCAAGATAGAGTTTAACCAGGATTGCTTTGTTTTCTTCTAAAATAGAAATCTGAAATGAAGAAAGAAATTTTTAAAATGGCAGTTACATGTGGGCCCTCACTTTTATATTATATAAAAAGATTTTTTGTATCACGTAATCCCATCTGATAGGTTTGCGAATGTCACTTTTCAGTGTGCAGATGCGACAATTTTTTCTTCCCAAATTCTGTTAAAAATTTGTTGAAGTTGCCACATTGGTTTTTTTATGTAATGTGAGAAAATGGAAGCAACCAACAAAATCTACAGAAACATTCCTCTACTCAGATTCCACCAGCTCCTGATTTTAAAGATGGCAAATGAATGGAGATGATAACCCTGCATGCTGTGTGGTTTGCATTGTTAACCCAAGTTTGCTTGTCTGTTTCCTAATTCAAACAGAGCGGCAGAAGCCATGATGCATGTAGTGTGTGTGTGCTGCAGCTGGAGTGGGCCCCAGACCAGGTATTTATAGACGCCACGGTAAACCTTCCATCCAGCCTTCATCTGTGGTCTCAGAATCTCTCTACGTGCAGCACTCTGGAGATTTAGCTTCTGTCTTTCATCAGCTCACCTTGTTTAATCTGGTTACAACTAGCCTGTGCATATGTATGTATATTGGCATACATACACACATACATGAGCAAAATTTACTGTTTAAAATATTCCCAATGATAACACACTCCAAGGAGGGCAGAGTCAGTGGAAACGGGCTTATTCCTACCACACGTGCCTATCAAATCAGTATCGCAACACTCTGTGGTTGGTGGTAGCTGTGAGCTGCAGATTTTATAAGTCCCTTTGGTCCTCTTAGAAAAGAAAGTTCTGGGTTATTCGGGTTTTTTCACTCTTCATGTTACTATATACCAGAACTAAAGTTCTGATGGCAGAGAGCTCCTGTTGAAGGAGTAATGGGCACGAGCCAGGTGGCTTGTCCAGGATTACTGAGACTTATCTAGGACACAGGAGGAGCTGAGCCTTGGCGTTTGATTCTCTGGCCTGACACATTTTCCATGAAAGTTGCCTGGTATCCATTTCTCTGTGTTGTAAATATGGGAGCTGGCAGACAAGAGGTTATTGGCCAACTTAGCATGAAAGGAAGAAAAATGGTCTTTAAAGCTGCCAACTAATAACCAGATAAGGTCCTACAGGCTGGTTGTAATTAGATTCATGGCATTTTTTTATTTCTTTCCCCCCTTTTTCTTGTAAGAATTAGTTAAAGACAGGCACAGTTTGATTCTTAATGTCTGTTGTCTTCACCCTCCTGTTAATCCTGTAATATTGGCCTATACCTAGGTCCCCTCGCCTACTCTTAGGCCAGTGAAACTCAGCTACAGGGAAACTATATGCTGCTTTCATAGTGAGTTTAAAATCTAATGAGCTGGGTTCACCATGACCACCCCGATTGCTTATAACTGGCATACTGTGCCAGAAGGCCATTATCAAGCTCCACTAGATTGTTAACATCAATATTTTACTACAGTGCATTTTTCCCCTTAGTATTAGCTCAGAATTGAACCTCTTTCAGACTCAACCGTAGAGACTAATAAATAAAAGTAATACTCCTGTTTCCAGACTCTAATGGACATGGTTTAAAATGAGATAAAGGCTCTTTTCCTGCATACTACCACACTGTAAGGGCACAAGCTGTCGGTACCTTTCTGACAATAGTACTCCATTTTCTGTGCTGATTAAAATGATGTAAAGCCATCCATATCATACTGCCTTGCTTCGTGACTTCTTCAGATTGAACTCCTGTATGTGATGTTAGCATTCAGAGTGAAGCATTTAAACTGCATCTGCCCTTATAGATTGTGTTCTAAAATCAATTTTTTGTTACAAGACCTTTGACTTTGAATTAGAGATTTTTATAATAGAACATAGAGGATATTTAACTAAATTATTAGGAAGTGAAGGGATAACTGATACTAAACATTAGAAGAAACTGATATTTCATGACAGCATTAAGAAGCACGCTAAACTAGTGTGTAAGACTGCAATGCTGTATGAGCGGTCTGTAGATTCCACTGAAGCTAAATAATCAGTGCCTATTGAAACACACCATCTCATATACTGTATTAATTGAGAAAGTGATTGATAATTCTTTTACAGTTGTATCATTTGGTTGGAAGATTGGGATTTAATCAGCCAGATCTTCTTTAGCTTTGCTTTTGTTCTCTGATTCAGAATGATTTTTTTTTAAAAAAAAAACCCTGCTTCTTGAAAACTGGCTGGAAATTATATCAAATGTTTGCATCTCTATCTTGTTGTAGTCTCTGAGCATTGCTTTATTTCTCTTTGAATTCTTACTGTGTCCCAGGTATGACTGACCACAGATTTCTCATTTATAACCTCAGTGTTTGTGTTGAAAACAAATTCATTGTCATGAGAAACATCTATAGTGCACAAAGTGTTAAGAGTTGTAATGTGTTTAAGAATCACTCATTAGGGAGCTCTGGTGGCCTTGTGGCAAGAAGCTGCGCTGCAATCCTGAAGGCACGCAGTTAGAGTCCTCCAGATGCTCCACTGGAGGGGGGCAGTCTCCTCCTGTGCCAGCAGGATCTGATTCGATAGTACGGGGGAGGGGAAATAATCACTTTGTATTTTTTTAAAAAATCCATACTTTTGGGTTTATCCCCAAGGAAGTACCCCAGAATCTGCATGCATCCCAGGTATTATCAGGCAGTCTTGGAGAAACATTCTAGAGGTCTGAGCATGCTGAGAATAAAAATAAATATGTGTCCATAGTTCTGAGTATTAACCAGCTGTAATGTAGATGCTTATTCATGGTACTTGAATTGTCATATTGAGGATAATATACATATTTTATTAAGATCATGCCTACTTCTTATACTGATACTAAAATTTGTCTACCACAAGAAGAATAGCTCTTGCATTTGAAGACAGATTTGAGTTTAAGGACCAGATTTTAATTCTGTCCTGTCTAGATTTGTATTTTCTGATCAATTACTGGCTAATTAATATTTTTCCTTTTCTTTTTATTCCATATAGAGAAAAGTGGTAAAGAAACTACCTCACTGGGAATGTCATCGTTACCAACTTCAGATGGATTTGACCATCTAGCCCATCCTTCAGGACAGAGTTCTGAGATTGGTAATCATACGAGTGTTCCTCGTTCTGTCTCTACTTCAGTCTGCCCTGTAAAGCCCAGTGATGCAGCTGGCCTTGACCGTCAAGCTGACAAGGCTTTGAAGGTTTCTGCTGAGTTCCAGATCGCCTCTGAAGAGAGAGAGCATCTCCTTCCTCTACAGGGTCTTTCAGCTCATGCTTCTTCAGCAGACACTGCTTCAGCAGACCAGAGGCCACCTAGGCCTTTGCAGAATTCACTGGAACAAACAGTGGTTACAGACACTTTAAAGAAGTCTCCTGCTGAAAAAAGCACCCCAAGCCACGAATTTCATCTCTGTACCAAACGGGAAACTAGTTTATCTATCACAGCTACTAGGGTGTGTGACCCACAAATGTTTCTCCATCAAAAGGGTTGGCATCCAGAATATCAGAATCAAAGTCTAGTAAATGGCTTTCAGCAGCATGAAGAAGCCAGGAATCAACAGCATGAGGTTGTACAACAGAATGCTCCATGTGACCAAGCACATCTGTGTAGCACGGGAACCCTTGACCCTCCTGGTCAAAGGCAACAAAGCCAACCCAAACGTGTTGATTTAGAAGCTGAGATGAAAGGGGATGAGCTCCAGCAGAATGTGGACCTTCAAGGTGCAGGGAAAAATGTTCTAAATAGAGGATACTTGGGCTGCTCAAGTTCAGAAACACTTATGGACGTAGATGTTGTTGAACAGTCCTTGGTTGCTGTGTTTAATTCAGGAGGCTGTCCAAATGCCAAGAGCATTGATGCATCTCATCTCATCCTAGATAATCCTTCAATGGAAGTAGAAATATCAAAATACAACCCTTCATCTGAAATTTTAACTAATTCCATTTCTACCCAGGATTTACGGGGCCCAGAAAGTAAGGTTGACATATCTAGAACAAATGAAGAAGATAGCAGTTGCTCTCCTTTAAGTCTTTGTGGCAGTGGTCACACCTCTGTGGAGACAACAGAGGAATCCTGTTCATCTATAACAACAGCTCTGAAGGAACTTCATGAACTTTTGGTCATTAGTAGTAATCCAGCTTCAGAAAACATATATGAAGACACTTTCTGTCCATCAGGAACAGGAGCCAAGGGCCAAATAAGTACAAACGACCTTCCTGAAATATGGGCCCACAGTGAACCTCTTCCCACTTCCCTGGATGAACAGTGCCCACCAGGCTTTTCTCATCAGTCTGTCCCTGTATCCACGAAGACAGAAAAATTAGGGACTTCGCCTGACACTGGAATGGAGAATATAAACGACATCAACTTCAGGGGTCCTGTGGAAGGTGTCCCCAAGTTGAGGGAGTCCACTGACGAGAGCAGTTCCAGTTCTGTCCCTCAAGCCTCAATGGAAATGTCTAATCAACTGCACCGCACACTAGGTGTGGAAATTTCCCCCAAACTTTTAACAGGTGAGGGAAATGCACTGAATCAAATTTGTGAGCAAACAGAGTCCTTACCATCCAGTTTCCTCTTGGTTAAAGACTCTGGTCAGGGGATTCCGAATCCAGTGACCGAAAAGCCTGAATCCAGAGAAAATACCTGCCCTGAAGCTGCCGGTCCATTCCTTGAGTTCGAGCCACCTACCAGCCATCCATCGAATCCTTCCATTTTTCCCCCACTGATTTTTCCTGCTGCAGACATTGAACGGATCCTCCGGGCTGGCTTTACTTTGCAGGAAGCTCTTGGGGCTTTGCATCGAGTTGGTGGAAATGTAGACCTTGCTCTTCTTGTTTTGCTGGCAAAGAACATTGTAGTTCCTACATAACCTTAGAAAGTGGGCTAGACCATACTCCATTCCCATAAGGAAAGCTACTTACACGTGCACATGCGTGCATGCACACACACACAGGATAGGTAGAAACCTGCAAGCAGAATGTTGAGCCAGAATTCTTTTTCCTTTAAGATTTTTTCGGCCAAAGTAATTTATGATCTCTTGTCTGATGAATTTGTCTATTCTACTTGTTAAAATTTGGGCCTTTTTAAATGTATTGGCAGTATGTGCATACAAAAGCATTTTATTCACATTAAGATAATGTATTCTGGAATAAAATTGATGGTTTTATGTATATCATACTGTTTTAGAATGAGAGTGAGTGCTTTGAAAAGCAAAAGCCATGAGAAATCCCACGACCTGTGTAGCTGAAAGCATCCTTACGTGGCTGTGTGTGCTATAGGCAGGGTCTGACTTGTTGACTCAATTATCAAGTTACAAACGTTTGACCTTAGTTTGGTGTTTGGAATTATACCCAGTGCTCTGTATATTATGATTCATCAGTTATAACAGGAAGTTAACAAATCATTGAATAATATTTCCTAAAGATATTTTTTTACTCCTATAATTGACATTTTAGTAGGTAGGCAGGAGGGTTTAAAATTTGAGCTGTTTCATATTTGGCAGGCCACTGCACGGATTGCCTCATTTCAACACCAGAATGGGGTATTGTAGGGAAATTGACATCAGGGTGAAATGTGGTGCTACCCAGATTTAAAGTGAGGGAAGAAAAACCCAACTTTAATTGCAAATGACTTGGTGATGTATCAAAAACTGAATGAAAAATTATGGCATAAACACTGGAATTCAATGATTTATTTGGTCAGTTTGTGTTCAGCTAATAAGCTGATTGCCAGGAGCTTCTTTCTTTCCTTAACTCATCTACTAAAGCTCAGTTTTGAGCCACGGATTGAATGAAATGCTGTTGTGTGATAACTGTGTCCCTGGTTCATCTTGGTGCTTGGATTGGTCTGTCTGGTGAGTGTCCTTCACAGCAGTAAAAATAGTAATGTGGTTTCTGACTCAAGTGGCCTTGGTAAAGTTCTCCATCTCCTCTTTTCCTCAGGAGTTTCTTTTTAAAATAAGACTCATCATCATATTTGTGTACCATGTAGAGTTAAGAGCGGGGCATAGCATATAAATGTTTTTATTGTGGCCTTTTATGAGGACGAGCCCTTGGAAATCTTTGTCCTGTGGGCCCCACTGTGCAATAATCCTACTAAGTAGTTTAGATCATTCTTTCCTAGAAAACAGACAGTACCTAGCAGGAATCAGAAATCTTGGTTTTATCAAATAGAATTTTGAGATTGATAGTTCTTGATTCCATATTACAATTAGTAGCATGCTTTGAAAGGATGATTTGTGAACTTAATGTTACTTTTATGTAAAATTTTACTCTTTGAAGATTATTCTTTCCATCAGAATTCAAGTCATTGAGCACAATCAGAATGAAAGCTCACATCTCAGGAGTTTTTTAAATTTTGCTTTTGGGAGCACTGAGAGACTTGTCTCTTCTGTGCTGTTCCAGCTCCTTCCTTTCTCTTTGCTGTGATGTTTGTATGTGTTAAGACTTTAGTGATGTGACAGTAGGTCAGACTGATCCAGCATGATCCTTTCTGAAGTTAGGAAGTGGATGACAGAGTTGTTGTTTACTGTTTTCAAGAGGGCACTCAGAGTGACAGGTTCACAAGATTGTCTTTAAAAATGTCCTTTTAGACAATCACATGTTGGAGATTTTACCTGCCCTACACCAAAGATGTAAGATGCACTGAAAAACTGCTTGTAGGGTTTCTATCAATGGACTCGTGAGAGCTGTGATTATAATTTAAGTGGTTGGTGCTATGATTGAAAACAAGATCTAGTAGCAATGCTGTAGGGCTTTTTGCTTGATTGAAAATGTGTTCTAAATTTACAGTTCTTTGAGGCCATGGGATTGGGTGGGTGTGTTGTGGAGAGCTTAACAATGTTAGCCACCTCCTAAAAACCTTCAGTGTGAAGATGGCTTCACAGTGTTCTGTGGGAGAATAAAGACGCAGAGGCATGGCCATTGGATTTTAACAGTATGGCAGTTAGGGAACAGTCCCAAGTGAGGTATAGACTTATCAGTCTAGACAAAGTTTCATTATGATAACTTTTTATGTATGTGTATGTATATTTTAAGAGAGAATTGAATAGGCCTAGCAGTTTTACATGTATTTCTTGTTGGGAATACTTTAAATTACTTTAATCCATTTGCCAAATATCCTTGTCAGTTTTGTTAATTTGTTTTTAACATATACTTGTTTTTGAATTTTAAAATCTTGTTTCCTGTCCATTTCTGTGAAAATAAAGTTAACCAACATTGTTAGGATTTTTGAATAATTGTTAAATTCCACAATTCTAGAGCCTGAAAGGTGTTAGGGAACCTGACACTTGAAACATTCATTGTCAGTTACATTGTGTTAAACACATTCAAAATTCTGAAAGTGCAGAAATGATAGATTAGCTCCTGAGAATAAGATTCAATCATGTGAACTCATTTGGCTGCCCTGATGGCTTTACTGAACAGCCTCTTTGATATAAACGACAGTGGACAGCTCTGCGGTTAGAGCTTCTCTCCACAGGTGGTCTCTGCTCACCAAAGAGAGGAAGGGGTTCTCCTGTGGCATTCCTAGCTTCCTTCACATTGCTTCTGGTACAGCAGCATGTGCTTCCTGCCAAACAAGTATACCTAGGCTGTGGATTTTTCCACTGAAGCTAGTAAGAATTCTTTGTTTCTAGCTGTACCTGTTCAGGCCTTTAGGCATCAGCCAGTAAGTAGCCCTTCATCAGTGCAGTTTGAGCTTCAGCTATTAGCTTGAAAAAAAGTAGCCAGTCATTTAGCAACAGAAACTGGATAGGAACTTTTTGCTTCTTCAGTGTTTTTCCTACGCATTTCTCTTAACAAGGGTTTCATAGAAATAGAAGAATATATGATCCTTGTATCTTTGGCGATAACCAGTTAAAGTGGAATCTGCCTGTTTTTATCTTACCACAGCTTTCTATGACTAGAAAGCCATAAAAATTAAATTTTTCATTTCATATATGTTACCTTCCTATGTTAATTGACAGACAACAGATATACTTTCATGTAGATTAAAAAGTGTGAGCAAATTTCCTGCCTGCCAGTGTATTCTTCACCCTAGGAGGCTTGTAATCCACTGTGTATAAAAAAAAAGCCTTGAAGAAAATTGGCCATGCAAATTGAAGTGAGTCCTCATTTCCTCACTGTTGGCCACCTGTGGTGAGGTTAAGCAGGAGAACTCAAACTGCTACACATTTGAAACTTGTAAGTCTGATGAGAGATGCTAAGTTGGGCAGTCTTCATTCTCTACTGCAGATACTCATCAAAAAGCCAGTCTTCCTTTTTGTGTGACAATAGCTCTCTGTCATCTGTTCATTTCCTCTCCTCAGATGTCACCTTTCACTGTAGGAGTTCCATAAACAACACCAAGAGCTAAAAATTATTACTCTTGCCAGAGTAAACTCACACTGTGTTCTTAGGTGGCTGGAGATGTGAAATCACAGCTAATTTTTATACGTCAGTTGGACCCTCAGGAGAGATTCTTTGAATAAAGGTATGAACCTTTGTTGCACTTGATTTTCTTTTGTGCCTTAGTTTCTCCAAATAGCAGAAATGTCAGAATTTGATAGGGACATGGATAGAGTGATCCTAAGACTCATCTCCGTTAAACTAATTCAGAATTAAACTACACCAGGTCATTGACCTTTCCCCAGAGAGAAGGAGTATATATCAGGTATACCAAAAATGATTCCTAGATGTTTCTTGTGTTTCGTGTTGTCCTACCAGTGTTGTAAAGAGAAGAGGGTCAAGGAAATCCAACTTGAACCGAAAACTGATACTCTCAGATGCTATGCAAGATGAGTCTTTGAACAAGAATTCATCAATATTTCTTTGATTCATCAAGTGTGGATTGAGTGCCCCCGTGCCAGGCACAGCAAACACTAAAGATACAGGTGTGACTGAATGAAACGTGCCCTCCAGAAGCTTTCCATCTAGGAAGGAGACAAGCATTTTGACCTAAAGAACAAGACCTATCTTAGCCTATTCGTTTTGTTTTCAAAGTCATACTAGAATTATTTGGTTTAAGTTGAGGAGATAATTGGGCTTAAATAGGAATTTTTTTAAAACGCAACAGCCAATATTCTCTAATATTTAATGGAAATATCAGGTATTTGCAAATAAATGGGCGGTGCAGACAGATTGGTCGGCCAGGAAGGAGGAGAAAGGTAGCAGGTAGGGTGATCCTCAGTACACATCACAGTGTGGCAGTCGGCCTTTCCTTTCATCAGGACTGTGGGATGGAGAGGGAGGGCATTGCAGCAGCATCCTGTCCTATCTGAGAGCTGAGCTGCTGTGGGTTACTGACAGCTGGGCTAACACCTTGGCTGAAAATGCTGCAGAACATTCTGTTTTCAAGCAACTGAGTGCAAGATTAGAAATGAGACTGGGGCAGAATGGTGGGCGGAATTTGACTTAAAAGAGTCAAAGCACTACTGTGGGTTTTTCCTCAGAGCAGCTCTTATCAAAGAAACGTGAGCTTAAACTCGTTGAAGATGCATGTTCTAACCTGAAGCATCTAGGTAGACTTTGTGGATCTTAAATTACTTCAGAAGTTTGCAGGTTGAATGTTTATCCATTATGCGTCGGTGATTGGTAATAGGCTCTGGGGTCCAGAAAAGGTGAGAGGATACAAGAGTACCATTTTATGCTATGAAATCTGCAAAGAAAGGTTCAGGGGCCTAAGTATTAAAAAATTGTACCTAGAAAAGCCAAGATGACCTCAAGAGTCTGGGGATGATGTATGTAGCATGCAAAAGAATATTTACAGAACTCTCTTTAAAATAAGTACTTTAAAACAGTTTTCATTGGCTGGTTGGGAAGCAAAGGATGGACATCCTGGAGTGTATTTCCTGGGGGGGGGGTGGGGAAGTGCCTTCTGATGGGAAATTGT